TTTCTAATTATCCCAATAGTTTCATCTGGCCTGGGGCCAGCTATCCACCAGCCTGCCAAGGAAGCCTTCCGGTTCCCAATCTGACATTCTGAACTCTCTTCCAGCTAAGGGAGAAGCCTGGTCTAGAAGTCTGATCCTCCAATCTTCTGGGCAGGGCTGGGGACACCCCTAGCGCAGTCAGAGGGGCCTCCTGCCAGGGTGGCCTTGCTTCTTCACGTGCACTCTTAATGTGTGGCTACTGAGGGGGCCACAAAGCCCCCAGGATGGTGGAAGTCTTGTGGTCAAGTCCAGCCACATGGTGCCTGAGAAAGCCTCAGCTTCCAGTGTTCAATTTGGCAACCGATTTTAAAATTGGTTTGAAATGTTACAGCTCCGAAGTTCCCACACCTAGAGAGCCATCAGGATCACATGGGGGGACTTTTAAAGAAACAGATTCCCAGGCTCCAGTGTTTCTCAGACAATCAGTCCAGGGTGGAGCCCGAGAATTTGAGCTGGTTTTTTTTTTTGTGGTACGCGGGCCTCTCACTGTTGTGGCCTCTCCCGTTGCGGAGCAACAGGCTCCGGACGCGCAGGCTCAGCGGCCATGACTCACGGGCCCAGCCGCTCCGCGGCACGTGGGATCTTCCTGGACCGGGGCACAAACCCATGTCCCCTGCATCGGCAGGCGGACTCTCAACCACTGCGCCACCAGGGAAGCCCTGAGCTGTTTTTTAAGCTCTGGGGTTATTGAATCCATACTGGCTCTTAACGATCCCCACTGCCCTTTCTGAACACCCACAGATAATTGCTTCCAGAAGGCCACGTCTCTGTGGCTCTCTTCTGCAGTGGCCTCTCTGCACAGACTGGACCGTGGCCCTCTGACCATGGTGTCTGGCCCAGAGCAAATACCAGTTCTTTAACCAGTAGCCCAGCAAAGCTGGGGGTTGGGGACAGGGTGAGTTTCCAAGTGTTCCCTTACTTGGGGTACCTCTCCTGCCCTGGCCCTCCATTCCATCATCCCACCATGGCTCCTTGGTTCTGCAGGATGGAGAAGACAGGGCAGCATGGGAAGTGAATGGCTCCACTTCAGGGCCGGGATTAGGGTGAGGCGAGGGCGGCACTGACCTCGGGTGTAACATTTAAAGTGGCACCAACAAAAAGAACTTATTTATAAAACAGAAACAGACTCACAGATTTCGAAAACAAGTTTATGGTGACCAAAGGGGAAACGTGGAGGGGAGGGATAAATTAGGAGGTTGGGATTAACATACACACACTACTACATATAAAATAGATAACCAACAAGGACCTACTGTATAGTACTCAATATTCTGTAATAACCTATATAGGAAACGAATCTGAAAAAGAATGAATATAGGTATATGTATAACTGAATCCTTATGTTGTACACCTAAAACTAACACAACATTGTAAATCAACTATACTCCAATAAAATTTTTTTTAATAAAAACATTTAAAAAGCGGCACCTACAAACTCAGTCATCAAGAGAATATTTTAATGCCATATATTTTTAAATCAAATTAGTTAAACTGATGCAGAAAAATCCATGATGAACAAAAGATCAACATTTTAAATAAAAGACAGGATCAGTAATGGGGCCAAGCCATGTCTGAGGACGAGGTAAAAGGAAAGATAAGTCACAGAAATGATGCAGAAAGAGAGAGAGTTCAGAGAATGTATTACCTTGCTCCCTCCGCACCAGGCTGCAGGCTGGCCCTGGTCCGTCTCCCACCCGCACTGGTACAGCCCCTGTCCAGCACCCCTCCTGCAGAGGCATCACAGCTCTTGCTGCTTTGGGGACCCACCCTCCCTGCCAGCTCAGGCTCACGTGTAGAGGTCTTAGCTGCCCCCTGCTGCAGCTTTTCCTAACGTCTTCTCTTCCTTCACCCTGCCCACACCTGGCCCTCCTGTGTATACTGTCCCTGCATTAAACGGAAAGAAAGAAAGAGAGAGAGAGAGAGAGAGAGAGTAAGGAAGGAAGGAAGGGAGGAAGGAAGGAAGGAAGGAAGGAAGGAAGGAAATAAGGAAGGAAGGAAGGAAGGAAGGGAGGAAGGGAGGGAGGAAGAAAAGAAATGATGCAGGAAAAAATATTAAAATTCTAAAAATATCCTTAGAGAGAGAAGCTATTACATCCATGACACAAGAACAATGGGAGAGTATGTTTTTAAGAAATGATCAGAAAAGAATAAACAGCTCTTGGAAATGAAAAATATGATAGTAGAAAAGAAATCGGTAACATTAAGAAAATAAGGTTGAGAATATCTCCCAGAAAGTGGATCAATGACAACAATTACAAGCAAACTAACAAATAGACAACAAAAAATGCAAAGGGACAGAAACAGAAGAGAGAAGAAAGTTTGGGGATCAATCCCCGAGATGGACATCTAATTGAGGGGTCTGGTAGAAAGAGGAGAGTACGTAGAGAAAAGATGATCAAAGCAATAAAACAAGAAGACTTTCCAGAACTGGTGAATATAAGTCTCTGGGTTGAAACAGTCCATCAAGTGTCCAGTGCAGTGAGAGAGAAAGAGCCCAAACAGGCACTTTCAGAATGCTGGGGTTAAGGGAACACCCCTGAAAGCTTCCAGAGGCGGAGAAAGCAGGCATCTACAGAGATCGGGCATAAGTGCATCAGACCTCTCAATGGTGACATCAGAAGCCAGAAGACCATGTGAGATGCCTGCAAACTTGGGAAGGAAAATTATTTTTAATATAGAATTCTATATTCAGCCAAACCATCAATCGAGTGTGAGGATAAAATAAAGGCATTTTCAGATGTGCAAGTTCTCCTCTTCTGTAACCTTTCTCAGAAAGCTAAACAAACAAGGGAATGAAGTGGGAAAGAAAAGACACAGGGTCAAGAGAACAGGGTGCCCAGCAAGGAGAGAGATAAGGGAGTTCCAGGATGAAGGAGAGGGAGGTCCCGGGATGGCTGTGGGCAGGCAGGAGAGCACCCGGCCAGGTTGGAGAAGGATGACGATGGCTGAGAGGTTTCCAAAAAAAAACCCAAAAAAACAAAAACTGACAGGTTTGACCACACCAAAAATTATATTTAAGGCCAATGGATGTTTAAGAATATATAGCAGTGGACTTCCCTGGTGGCTCAGTGGTTAAGAATCCGCCTGCCAACGCAGGGGACACAGGTTCGAGCCCTGGTCCAGGAAGATCCCACATGCCGCAGAGCATCTAAGCCTGTGTGCCACAACTACTGAGCCTGCGCTCTAGAGCCCACAAGCCACAGCTACTAAACCTGCATGCCACAACTACTGAAGCTCGCATGCCTCGAGCCTGTGCTTCGCAACAAGAGAAGCCACTGCAATGAGAAGCCCGCACACCACAACGAAGGGTAGCCCCTGCTCGGCGCAACTAGATAAAGCCCACACGCAGCAACGGAGACCCAGTGCAGCCAAGAATTAATTAATTAAGAAAAAAAAAGAATATATAGCCATGGTAAGTACAAAAAACTAAGAAAGTAGGTGGGGATTGGGGGCAAGAAAAGCAAAAATGATGCAAGAAAGTAAACAGTGATATTACCCTGATTGGATTAGTGGTGAACAGTATTTACCTGATTACGATAAAAAGCAGAGCATATGGATTTAACAGTTGTATTGAGAGTGTTAAACCATGCTTGGGGGAGTAGATAAAAGGCATATAAAAGGCACTCTTCATCTACACAACAGGCAACCAACAGATAATGTCTAAATGGATTTATCGACAGGTAGCAGTGTAAGAAAATTACTTAGAAATATGGAGATGACCTCCAGGAGAAGGTGCCCAAAGTGACACCTTCTGAGAGAGGGGTGGGCAGGTCCGGAGAAGAGGGGCGGACTGATGTGTTTTGTTTTCTGATTTTAGCACTATTTGGCCTTTTTTTTTTTGCTGTATGCGGGCCTCTCACTGTTGTGGCCTCTCCCATTGCGGAGCACAGGCTCCAGACGCGCGGGCCCAGCCACTCCGCGGCACGTGGGATCTTCCCGGACCCGGGCACGAACCCGTGTCCCCTGCATCCGCAGGCGGACTCTCAACCACTGCGCCACCAGGGAAGCCCTATTTGGCCTTTTTGACTGCATGCGCTTCTTGGATTTAAAAAATTAGTTACTAAACATAAAATAAAGAAATGCCAAGAAGCCCATCCTCTTGTTGTTTCTCTTTTCATAGTTTTTCTGCATCCTGAGAATCCATCCTCTTCACCGGCAGCCATGCGCGCCTCCACACACAGCCATGGGCACATTCACACTCACACGGTCTCACACACACACACACACACACACACACACACACACTCCTCTCAGACACAGCAGCTCATGGTGACAGACACACAGGCAAATGTACATAATACACAATAACCCTCAGACACACACATGATTACAGGTTCTCCCACAGACACAGAGGCCCCCATGAGCCTCCCAGGTAGCCAGCTGGGGAGCAGGGCCAGCTCTACAAGGGGCCAGTTCCTCCCTGCATTGCCACCCCCAGAACTGCCCCAGGCAGAGGACGTTTTCTCCTGCAGCATCACCCTAATTGCTTCCTCCACTCAGAGTGCCCTCCCCGGAGGCTGAGCAACCAGAGCCTCTGTACCATTAACCCTCTGGAGCCACATGGTCTGTAGATGGTGCAGAAATGAGGTCGGGGTGGGGCCAGAGCTGGCAGCCGGATGTGACTAATAATGCCACCTTCATTCAGCTTCTAGTGGAGGCCCTAAGAAGTGGAAGAGTCCAGTGTCAGGAACCCTGTGGACATGCTGTGCATCCTTGAGCAAGTCACTTCACCTCTCTGGGTCCACAAGGAGGTAGGCAAGCCTATGAAGCTCTGAGATGCCAAGATTTTATGACCCAGGCTTGACCCCGCTTCCATCCCCTCTCCCGGGAGCCCTCTCTCCACACCGACGTCCAGGGCCAACCCCAAAGGATACACTTGTGTGTCTGACAAGTGTACATGGGGCACCTGGGGGCCCCCCCACTGCCAATTCCCTCCCGCTCCATGTCCCTCCAGCACTTACCACCACCCTGGTCCCGTTATCCGGCAGTGTGTCAATGGCCAGGGTGCCCCCACCCAGGTCCTGGCTCAGCTGAGTCCTGTCCGGCTCCGACACCTGGCCAGGGATCTCTCGGGCTCTCCGATTCCAGCCCTGCACGGTGGTCCCCTGGACGGCCCCTCCAGAGCCTCGGCCTGCATCCTGACCTGGGAGAACGGGACAGAAAGTTGAGTCCTGACAGTCAGAGTGAAGGCCCTGGAGGGGGACCAGCCTGCTTACTCTGCAGAAGCCCTGATTCCCATGCCGTCATTGACTCTGGGGACACTGACATTCAGGGCAGGAGATACCCAGCATGCACTGAGCTCCACCCACACACTTTGCACAGGAAACACTTTAGCCCTCACTCCAGCCCTCCACCGTAGGTATGATGCTCTCCATTTTGCAGACAGGAATCAGCAGCTCACAGAGGTTAAAGAAGGTCATACAGCAGGTAGGGATGGAGATAAGTTTCCCTTATCTGCCCCCAAAGGGGTGATTATTCTCAACTTCACTGGAATCATCTGGGGAGTTTTAAAAATTCCTGCTGTCTGAGTTCCACCCCAGAGATTCTGATATAATTGGTCTGCGGTGTGGCCTGTGCATGTGGATCCTTAAATGACCCCCAAGGGAGCTTTTGAGAAGACCTGGACCTTACACGGCACACAAGGGTGAGAACAATTGCTCTGGAACATTCCAAACCAGTTCCCTATTTCTCTACCACAAGTGGCACATAATCTCACCTTCCAGGGACTAGAAGCCAGAGAGCAGAGTTCTTTTAGTTCAGGGCTTCTCATCCTTGGTACTACTGACATTTTGGACTGGATAATTCTTTGTTGTGGAGGACTGTCCTATGCATTGCAGGATTTTTTAGCAGCATCCCTGGCCTCTACCCTCTAGATGCCAGTAGCACCTCCTCCCAGGTTGTGACAGTTGAAGATGTCTCCATAGCGGGGACCACTGTTTAGTCCCATCACTACCTTCAAACACCTTGGGGCAAGTCACTTTCCCCATGAAACAAGGAGCATAAACACCATCAATGATGGCAAATAGATTTCATCTCAAAAGCCATCTCCAATCGATTAGTGACAGCCAGGAGCACTCTAATTGTGAAGAATTCTGAGGTTCCATTTGTGTTTAGCAGGAAAGGTTGTTATGATCAATTAGCAATGTCTGCTGCGGGCACAGGATTGGAGAGTGGCTGCACACAGGCCATCTAGCAGCCGTTCCTCGACTTGATGCTCTCTCCAGTTCCCTCTAGGTCATTAAATTTATTCCGAATGACACAGAAACCATGCTTTTCCATTTCAGAAAGATTTATGCCCCCAAAGATATGTCTTATACGGTCTCTCCAATTGCCACACCTACTATGGACGTGTATATGGGACACAGACCACCAGGCGGGTGGAGGTAACATTCCCTGTGATCTCCATCAGTTTCAGGCCTGCACTGTGTCAGATGCCCTTCTCCACCTCGACCTGCCCCACCCCCTCCCCAGAGCCCTGGATGTAGCCCTCTCTCCTAGAGCATCTGCTGGTGGTCTAACTGTGCCTGTCTCCCTGGTAGACTTGAGTTCCCACAGGACCCTCCCACCTTCCGTAAATGTGTATCCTCGGTGCCTCGCAAACAGTAGGTGCTCAATCACTGCATAATTGAGGACACTTTACTGGAGGTAACTTGGGAGGCATCAAGAACAGAGGTTGAGAAAAGGCTTGCCCAGGACCAGGCCTGGGACTGGGGCCAGGACCCTGCTGTGGGGCTCTGGTTTGTCATTAGACATTTTATCCAATTAAGTCATTCTTGGCTGCTGGCGCCTGCTGGATCCTTGCCGGCTCCCTCTCACTCCCCTGCCCCTAATCGCAACCAGATGCTCTGGAAAAGATGGAGAGAGGGTGGTATCCAGACCCCTTCCCCAAGATGTCCACTGGCTGAGATGGACCTGAGCCCAGTGCTGGGAAGGCAGCCTGCCTGTGGCCCAGACCCCAGGCCAGGGCTGTCTTGCCGCTCTCGGGTGGGGCCCACAGCTGCCCATGGTGGCAGAACTATTTGTGCTGGGCTGCTCTGCCCAGCTCCCTGGGTCCTCCTGCAAGCAGCCCTCAGGCCTGGGCAGGAACCAGAACAGGAAAGGAGCATGTGCAGAGCAAGTAGAGGAGCTCAGCTGGCCCAGAAAGGGATGCTGGGGATCTGCAGGCATCACAGTCCTGCAACCGAGAGAGGAGGGAGCCTGGATGGTGGGGGCCTGAGGCCTGGGGAGAGGGCAGGGAGAGGGGCCTAGCCAGAGCTGGGGCCAGGGAGGGCACACCTGCCACCACAACCTGTGTGACCTTGGACCCATCAGTTTACCTCTCTAAGCCTCAGTTTCCTCATCACGAACATGGGGATGACAACCATGCCTGTGGCACAGGCCACCATGAGCATCAAGGAAGAAAAATAAATGAGAAGGTTTTTTAAACAAGGAGGGGCTTCCCTGGTGGGGCAGTGGTTAAGAATCCGCCTGCCAATGCAGGGGACACGGGTTCAAGCCCTGGTCCGGGAAGATCCCACGTGCCACAGAGCGTGCGCCACAACTACTTGAGCCTGCGCTCTAGAGCCCGCGTGCCACAACTACGGAAGCCCACGTGCCTAGAGCTCGTGCTCCGCAATAAGAGAAGCCACCGCACGTGGACCACAGGGAAGAATAGCCCCTGCTCACCTCAACTAGAGAAAGCCTGCATGCAGCAAAGAAGACCCAACGCAGTCAAAAATAAATAAATTAATTAATTTTTTAAAAAAAGTTAATGGTATAAACAGGGATGCTCAGGGTCAGGACCAAAGGCAAAGTGTCCAGGAAGGAGACAGGGGTGCGGGACAGAGGGAGGTTGCCGAGGAGCCTTGCCCTACTCTGTCCTAACCCTGAATCTTGCCCTCCCAACCCCCGACACCCTGCCCCCTCCCAGTTGGCTAGGATGGGACACCACCCCTTCCGCCTGCAGAAGGAGCCAACATGGCTGGTTGCTCACGTGTGTGTGTTGGGGCCCACATGCACACACACACTTGCCTGAAGGCCTGGGCCCTCCTCCTGCAGGCTCACACACATGTTACACACCTATCCAACCCTCAGCCACCCCCTGCTCTGCCTTCTGCCTTGCACTGGAGAGCTCCCTCTTCCCAGCAAGAAGCTTCCAGAGCATACGCTAGTCATGTATTCATCCATTCCACCACCCATGGCCCTAAGTGGCATACAGTCTAGTTGGATGTCACAATAGTGACAGTAATGATAAAAACAACAGCTGACTTTTAGAGAATGGTTACTCTGTGCTGGTACTATTCCAAGGGCTTTAAACCCACTAACTCATTTAACCCTCACAGTCACCCTATGAGAGAGGTGCTAGTTTTAGATCTATTTTACAAACTGGGAAACCTAGGCATGAGGACATTAAGGAATCTCCCCAGGTCACACAACTAGTCCAGGACAGGAATTGCACTCAGGCACAGAAAAGGTGCAGGCTCTGCTCAGACCACAGAAAGTACAAGAGGTGACCGGCAATGCCAGGCTGTGTCCTAAGGTGCAGGGGCAGCCCCAGGGCAGAATGCACTGGGTGCCATTGGGTCCGAACCTGGGAGCTTCTCTGGCAGACTGTAGCCCCTGGAATGCAGGGGGACGGCCCAGTGGTAGGGCCCCAACCCTCTTCTGGTGCCCCTGCCCTGCTCCAGGGCAAAAAGCAACAGGCTGACTTCACAAGGCCTGGTCACCCAATCCCAGCGCCTGGGCCAAGCCACCTTCATCCCATGCATCACACAAGCTTGCCATTCCAGCCTCATGGCCACCACTCAGTCCTGGCCACCGTCACCTCTTTCCTGGTGGCAACTTCAGCCCCCACCCTTAATGCCCTTGGGCCAGTCTCCCACACGCCTGCCAGAGCATCCTGTCCAGAGGACAAACTTCATTCCATCTCTCCCATGCTCCCCTCTCGCCATGACCCTTCGGCTGAAAGCCCAGCTCCTCCACTCAGCACTTGAGCCCCTTCATGACGGGATCCCTGCTGGCTTCTCCAGCCTCCCATCTTCCTAAAGCCCTTTGCAGGACGCAGCCCTACTCTCCCTGGCCACGAGGCTTCACACATGCAATTTTCTCATCCTAGATCACTCTGCTCCATAAATAAATCTTTCTCCTGATGAGCTCTTGCTCATCCTTCAAGTCTCATGAGATGTCACTTCTTCCCAGTGCCTCCTCTGACATTTCTGCCCCTCACCCCAAATGCTACATGCACCGTCCCAGCCCTGATCCTGACATATTGCTGCTACCTGTGCCACCACAGGCTCTAGGTGCCTGACACAGAGCAGATGCTCATCAAGCACACATGGATGATGGTAGGAAGGAGGGAGGGAGGGAGGGAGAGAGGGAGGGAGGGAGGGAGGGAGGGAGGGAGGGAGGGAGGAAGGAAGGGAGGAAGGAAGGAAGAAAGGAAGGGAGGGAGGGAGGGAGGAAGGGAGGAAGGGAAGGAGGGAGGAAGGGAGGAAGGAAGGAAGGAAGGAAGGAAAGGAGGGAGGGAGGAAGGAAGGAAAGGAGGGAGGGAGGGAGGGAGGAAGGAAGGAAGGAAGGAAGGAAGGGAGGGAGGGAGGGAGGGAGGGAGGGAGGCATCCTTAAATGTCCTGAGTACCTGCAACCCACAGGGTTGAAAAGACTCTTCCCTCGTGGCACAGCCTCACCAGAAACCCTCCCTGTACTATCACAGCAATAAAAGCACAGGTTTGGGGGTTCCCTGGTGGCGCAGTGGTTGGGAGTCCACCTGCCGATGCAGGGGACACGGGTTCGTGCCCCGGTCTGGGAGGATCCCACATGCCGCAGAGCAACTGGGCCCGTGAGCCATGGCCGCTGGGCCTGCGCGTCCGGAGCCTGTGCTCCACAGCGGGAAGTTATAAAAAAAAAAGCACAGGTTTGGAATCAGACAAGCTTGAGACTGAACTTTGAATCTATCGCTTACTGACTATGACTTTGGACAAACTGCATAATCTCTCTGAGCCTCAGTTTCCTCCTCTGGAAAATGGAAATGATAAAACCTACATCGGGCGAGTCATTTTGAGACTTAAATAAAATAATGTGCACAAAGCACCCAGCAGAGTCCTCCTGCTTTCCTGGGATTCACATGAGGACCAACTTTCTGAGGGGCCCGGGGAAGGCTCTGGACCCTGAGCTGAAATCCTGCCCCTCAGTTACAAAGTCCCCAACTGCACCCTCTCCCCTCCTGCTGGCAGGCAGAAACCCACTGAGGACCCTGATCTGGGGAGAGAGAGGGAGGCATGAGGAAGGGGCAGGGAGAGATGGCCAGTAGCTCAGAAGAAAAGAGGGGAGGAGAGGAGAAAAGAAGAGTTTGCCTCTCTGAGTTTCTCTCAAAGGGACAGACTGGGGTCTGTGACCCCCTCTGATTCATTCACTCACTCAGTACATGTTTATTGAGACCCTACTGTGTGCCAGGCACCGTGCTGGGTGCTGGGGCAATAACAGGGAACAGGCAGACACAACCCCTGTGCCCATGAAGATTTTAGTCGGGAAAGACACACACAAAATGAGTAATTCAGCAAATGAGACAACGTGAGGTAGTGAGAAGGGCTGTGAGGGAAACAGAAGGACGAGAGGGCTGGGGATTGTTGCTACTCTGGACAGAGCCCTCAGGGTGAGCCTCTCTGAGAGGTGGCCCTTGAGCTGATGGAGACCTGGACGAAGAGAAGCCAGGGGACAGATCCCAGGGGACAGCAGCCTGAGGGTTTTGGGGGATGGCCGCCGGCAGAGTGAGAGCAGGGGTCGAGGTGGGGAGGGGCTGTTCGACGGCCACTGTAAGAAATCTGGATTTCAGTCTCGCTCTGCTTGGAGGTCCCTGGTGAGCAAGGAAGAGGCCGGAAGCAGAGTCATAGCTTCAAGGGGCCCTAGAGGCAATCTGGTCCAAACCTCATTCTATGGATGGGGAAACCAAGGGTCAGAGAAAGGAGGAAGTTGCCAGGGTCACCAGGGGTCGGTGCTGGCCCTGGTCTCCTGACAGCCAGGAAGTCACGTCCAGCTGCCTTCTCCTTCTCTGTCTGCTGTAGGCACTTCCGGTTTCCCCTGGACCAGACCCTGAGTGCCACCACCCCCACGCTCCCCCTGTGCACCCCAGTATCTTCCTGTCTGTCCATCTGTCTGTCTATCAGCCTCTGCTGGTCTCGCCACCTGACTATATCTTTGGGTCACTCATCTTTCTCCTGCTCCCATTTTAATGATAGACGAAGTTTCAAGGCTCCACTAAACAAGCTAATTCATCAAGTGGGAGGGGAGATCTCAGCTCCCTCCTGAGCCCATCCCCACCGCAGCACGGAAGACTTGGAGCCTTGGGGCTGGATGGCAGCACCCCTCAGGTCCAGCTCCCAGCTGCCCTTTCACCATCACCAGGGCTCCACCAACATTCAGAGCAACCCTCCCCCAGAATGTCCCACCCCACATCTCTTCTCCCCAGAAGACATCCCTCTGCCTCCACACAGGGCCCCCCTCAAATCCAGCCTTCCCTTGTGAAAAAAGCACAGCACTGGGAGTAACAGCTGCCCCCGCTGGCTTCTTAGAGCTTCCTTAGGTCTAACCAATCTCTCCTGCTGCAGAGAAAGTCCATTTCTCCTGGCTGAATCTCTGTCAAAGCCGAGGAGACAGGGTGTCTTCTACTGAGAGATGTGATTCAAATCTCCGTCTGCCCCCTCTTTTTGACCTCCCAGGGTATCTACTCTTCCAACCCAACTCTGAAGAGGCAGCCCTCAGCCAGGCCTGGGTCTGGCCCCCATGGCCCAGCACATCCTTGTTTCCTCCCAATGCCCCCTTCCCCAACCCTCTCCATGGTTCTCCCAACTCAGTCAGGTTCAGAGCCATCTCTCATCCACCCAGTCACATCCTAAGTTCAGAAGATCCCACCAGGTTGGGTTTGCAAAGGACCTCAAAAATTGACCTGTCCAACCCATTCCTTTTTATATTGAGATCTAAAAAATTGTTTTCAATTACCCCATACACATCCTAACAAATCTGAAAAGGAAAGACAAACATTAAAAAAGAAAAAAGATCTCTCATAATCCCACCACCAAGAGTTAAAAATTTTGCCCACAGCCTCACTTTATAAGGGAGGAAATAGGCCCAGAGAAGGAAAGTAACTTGCTCGAGGTCACACAGCAAGTGAGATGCTGGGACTAGAAACCAAGTCTCTGGCCACTCTCTGTGTGGTCTCTCTGAAAACTGGTGGCTCTTCACCAGCAGCTTCTTGCCATATCAGCCTCCACTGTCCACTGCCCACACCCTCCTTCTCAACAGGGACCCAGGCCTGCCTCAGCTACATTCAGGGATCATTAAAGTCAAGCACACTGTCACTGACGCTTTGCCTGATGACAGCACACCCCTGAGACACAGCAGCCCAACTACAGCATCACTCTCGCCAAACCCTCCACCTGCTCCATCCATCTGGGGGACATGCATGCCAGTGAGGCATGGAGTACTATCTTCCCAATTCTCTCTGTCAAGAGGCTTGACTGCAATTACCCACCTCCCCAGCCCCAGAGAAGTTCTATGTACATGAGGAGGAAAGAGGAGAATGTAAAATTACTTGTTGAAAAATGGTTCTCCTTTTATAACAGCAGGGACTCAAGGTAGGTCTCAGAAAGGACTTCTGAGAGCATCCTTTGTGAGAGCGATGATTGTAGAGAACTGCTGTGTGCAAGATAGGACACCCCCACCCCCCAGTCTAGAGCCAGAGAAGCTAAAGGACCACCAGGGCAGAGCAGAGCAGGAGTGACAGGAGGACCCTGGAGGCTGGGGGTGGGGGAGCGGCAAGTTGCTTCTTTCTGGGCCCTGCTCTCCAAGTACCAAACGGAGAGAGGAAGGCGTCAGGCCCCTAGTGCCCTTGTTGGAGGAAAGATGCTGGGTCTCCTCCATCCTCCTGGCTGCTCCCACCCAGCCCCCAGCCTGGGTCAGCTTGGGAGTGGGGGCAGGGAAAAGAAAAAGGAGGCAAAACTGGGACAGGAGGCACCCCAGACTCCGCATCTCATCAGAATTCAGCCTCATCCAGTGTGACCAGGGGTCCCTATGTCTCGCCCACTGCCCCCTTTGGGGCCAGAGCCCACTGCCTTATAGATCCCCCTCTACTAGGGTCCCTCCAGCGTCCTTCCAGGAGGGAAGGAGAGCTCGGGGCATCAGTGTCTGACGCTTCCTCCCTCACTCATACACCCTGTGTGTTTAGAAAAGTGGGGTCCCTGTCCACCTGCCACAGTCCACAGGGCGCCTGGCCTCCCGCAGACACGACCCCCCGGGGCCCCAAACATCGCCAGCATGCCGGTACCTGCCCATGCCCACGCCCGCCTACCTGCCCCCCGACCCCCGCCCCGATCCACCTCAGCCAACTCCGGCCAGTCCTACCTGCTCCGGGCTGGGGGCTCAGCCCCCGGGCAGCCTCCCTGAGCACCAGCACGAGGAGCCAGAGCTCGGCCCGCATGGTGGGGGCCAGGGCCCGCCCCCGGCCCGCAGCTGCCCCGGCCGGGCTCTGGCGGCGCGGTCTCCCGGGCTGGCAGGCGGAGGGGTGGGCGGCGGAGCGGCGGCGGAGCGCGGGGCCGGCGAGCGGCGAGAGCGGCGAGAGCGGCGAGAGCGGCGAGAGCGGCGAGAGCGGCGGAGCGCCAGCGGGCGGCGAGCGAGCAGCGCGGCCTCCCGGAGCCGGGACCGGGGAGGGGGCGGGGCGGGGGGGCGCGGCGCTTCCACAGCTCTCCCTGAGGCTTCCCCAGCCCTCCCAGCCCTGCCCGAGCGCTCCCCGAGAGCTCCCGCGGCCGCTCCCTAGGCGGGGGGAGGGGGGGCAGCGGACGCAGGAGGGGGACAGGGCGGGGGACCCTCGGGCTGGAAGAACCCCCGAAGAGTACCAGCTACCCCCACACCGCACCTTAGCTCCTGCCTCCCTTCCCCTCCTGACTCCCCGGGGTAAAGCGGTGGAGAAAAGGCTCGAGAGGCCAGACCTCTTCCTCGGACCATGAGCTCCTACCACCCACCCCCCGACCCAGATCCACCAGGCTTCCCGACTTTCTGGGCTGTTCCACGGAGTTGTGTGGGTTTCTGATGCCCATCCCCACCCCAGAATCTCCCCTTGCAGCAGAGGCCTGAATTCCACGCCCTCCCGTGGCTCCTCTCCACTTTATCCCACCCCCATCCCCCATTGCCAGCAGACAATTGCCTTGTCCCCATTGTCTTGCCCCCCAGCCCAGCAGACATGCAGGTGGAGGGGGCCTGGCTCACCCCTACTTTGAAATAACCTGGACCCCTTCCCACCCCCAGGAGGTAACCGAGGCCACCCTCCTCTCCGGGGACCGCAGGCCTCCTCAGGGCCCGGCCCAGTCAATCTTCAAAGCCAGTCCCAGAGCAAGGAAATGTCTCAGCCCAACTGCCACCACGTTATAGCAGGCTCTGGGGATAGATCCCCCCCCCCCGCTTTTTTTCCTACCACAACAGAATAAAATACCTGCAATTTAGGATACTTAATAGACGGCAGGGAATCAGGTCAGGACACGGAGATGCCTCTTCCCTCCCCGACCTACTTCGTACGACAGCAAGAAACTCGAGCGCTGGATGGAGGGAGATAGAGGGGCGAGGGGGGCGCCCTGACATATACGGGGATGGGGTCCTAAAGACTCTCTAATCTTTCAGAATCCCAGTTCCTCCTTCCTCAGGACCCAGGGTCCCAGAAGCGACCTCCTCCAGTCCTAAGGCCTCTATTCAATTACGATGGGACAAGACAAGGCCTATCTGTAAGTTCTTCTTGTTGTCTCATTTAAATTGCTACTTTGCCGACTCTCAGGATCAAAAAGACTGCTGCTTCCAGCTGCAGCTTCTTGCTGCCCTCTAGTGGGCACATGACGAGCCGCAACGCGCCTGTTCTGCGGTTTTCCTCACTTTTCTGGTCCTGGCCTGGAGCTGCCCGCGACCTCCTACTCCAGACGGGCAGGTTCACAAGTCTTTGCCCCTACCTTCCGAGAGGTCAAAGTGAAAGGTCCCAGGACGAAATTCCAGCTCCGGCACCGATTTATTTGTACATTCCCCCGTCCGGGATGCCCCGCGGTCTGTTTTAAAAGGTCTCTCAATAAGAACTCAGGCTGAAATAGCAACTTGGAAATAATTAGAAGCAAACGACCTGTAATTTTTTTTAATGTAAGCTTCTAGAACTTGAGTGTACATCAGAATCACCTGGAGGGCTTATTAAAACATAGATTTCTGGGGCCACCCCCAAGCTCAATAGAGATAGGGACGAGAATCCGCATTTCTAACACGCTCCCAGGTGGTGCTCTTCTCGGTACCACATTTCGAGAGCCACTGCTCTAGAATTCCTGTATTTCGTACTCTCGCCGCTCCTCATCTGCCCAAAATAGAGGTGGCGAAGGAAATGTCAACGCAAAATTGTGGAAGGACAAAAAAAGCTGTAAAGAAAATTGTTGCTAGAGAATCGGAGTCCGGTGCCTTTAAAAAGGAACTGAGGGGGCACCCGGATTTGAACCGGGGACCTCTTGATCTGCAGTCAAATGCTCTACCACTGAGCTATACCCCCTCTGCTGGCAACGGGAGGCAGATGACTTGTTAGTGCTTCTCTAGCGCAGGCGCTGTGCTGGACGCAAGAACAGAGGTGAGGTCCAATGTTTACATGAGATGGAGAGAAAATGAATCTCAAGAGATTACTCATCTGGGTGCAGGGTTTGTTTCCTGAAGCTCTGAACTAAAGAATTCTAATGATGTAAGAAACTTGCTGTTTGAGAATGTGGGAGGGGAAGTCCCTAGAGATTCCACATTTCAGGGGCCTTCCTTTGGGCCTGGGTCCCCCTTTCCTGCCCTGCTAGAGTTCCCTTAGCGTTTCTCTTGGCGCCCACTTCTCCATCCTACACGCTCTCGTAGACTCCTCTCGGCCTTCCTTCCCTAGCCCGAGCCCGGCCCTTAGAGACTCAGCTTCTCTTGTTCCCAACAGCAATTGGGGTCCCCGGGCAGGGCCACCTGCGGGTGCTCCCGCTTCCACCCTACCATTACGAGAGTGGGTCTTTGTACAATCTACCAGCAGACTGAGGACGTGATCTGGCAGGGCCGGGGACTCCACTCCACCCACGCCCGACTGCAAAACGGGTCAGCAGTGCTGGAGGATCCTTCCCCTCGCGTTTGTAAGTAAACTTCAACGTGTGCATTGCAAGACCAAGAAAACGCGAAAAGTCTTGCACAGAGAGGGGGCACCCGGATTTGAACCGGGGACCTCTTGATCTGCAGTCAAATGCTCTGCCACTGAGCTATACCCCCGTCCTCCTACTACCCTCCAGTGAGAATGAATTTCCGTGGAATACGGGGATGATATTACCTTTGAACTATTGTGTTTCTCTTTGAAAATAATCTAGTGAAAGGAAAATAGAATCTGAACGGCGATGTTTAGAATTCCTGAGTTCTTTCTCCACAATCACGCCTTATGTAAACCACAAGGTTAAAAAAATCCTGAGCCCTCTATATCTGTGTCCAGCCTCTCACAGAGATGTCACTACCTGACTTGGGAAGGGAAGAGACCCCACTGATCTCAGGACCATCCCAGGTCTTCTGGGGTAATAGCACTGCTCCCTGTACACAGATGGGTAGCCTGGGTTTCCATCCTGTTTCCAGCTCTGCTTTGATAGGACCCCTAGGCTTTTCCAACCCCGAAGGGCCCCTCCTCCCCTCCTCCATGAGTTAGCATCAAACCACTCTTTCCCCTAGGCCCAGGCAGAGCCCAGAGCTCTGAGTCCTGGCAAGTGCGGTATCAGTCACCTGGCAGAGGGCTGTACAGCCCAGGACCAAAGAGCCAGTCCCCTAGCCAGACAGACCCTTGAGGCAGCCCCCCTCCACTTCCAAGGTGGATTTCCCCTGCCTGAGAGCTTTGTATGAAAACCAAAAGCCAGTCTGAGGCACAAGCAGAAGAAGAAATAAGAGGTGAGCAGTTTTCAATGACATTTATTACACCTTCATAAAATTCCTACTACAGTGTGAAAAAAATCACTACAAAAAGACAAGAAAAGCAAATGCTCTAGGAGGAATGTGAGATATTTGGGAGGAGTAGGATTCACACTGGAAGGACACTGGGAGTGAAGGTGTGGCTTAAAGCTCAAAAGCTGTGGTCGGAGGGAATGGGAGGGTGAGGGAGGAGTAGAAGTCCCTGCAGTGTGAGGGACTGTCCCTGGCCCGAAGGTCCTGTCCTCTGCCCTCTCCCCTCCCAGCGTTTGGTTCTGCCCTCCTTCCCCTGAGCCGACCCCTTCACCTTTCTGGAATCTCCTCTGATCAAAGGGTAGGAGACAAAGATGGCTAAGGGGCCAGAAAGCTGGAGTAGGGGGTGAGGGGCTTAGGGTTAGGGTTCTAGGAAAGAAAGAAAAATTCCAGGGTTTCTTACTCTGTCCTCCATTTTTCCTACAGAGAGGTTGAGGGCTGAGGGGAGGGGGCTCCACTTCCTAATCCCCCAGCACATCCAACAGCTTCCCTGGTGTCTCCAAGAAGGTTGGAGTGAAGGGCAGCTTTTACAGTTGTCCTGTCTGCAGCAATTCAGGGTGCTCAGTCTAGCTCCTCAGTGGGGGTTGGGTGGATAGTGGCAATCTCACTGTCCATAGCTGCCCCTGGTCCCACCGGAGAATCACAGAAAAATAACAAATAGTCATTTGGGTTTTCCACCCACATCGTCCATGCAAAACCCTCAAAGATTCTGGTTGGCCTCAGGCTGACATCAGTTGACAGTGGCCCAAGACTGCAGCCACTGAAGCCCGGCAGGCAGCCTGCAGGGACAGAGGAACAGGGAGGGCAAGGGTCAACATATCCCATGAGGATGATGGCCTCCCCAGCCCCCAGCCCCTGCTGACTGATGGAACGACCAAATTTATATCCAGTTTTGTGTGCAGTTAACAAATATAAACGGACTGTGTACCTACCATGTATCAGGTACTGTGCTAGGGGTTACTGGTGAAAAAACAGACGTGCCCTCTAGGGCTTACAGTCTAGCAGGGGAGATAGATATTAAACAAATGATCAAACAATTCTGTAACTACGTACTGTGATAAAGGTTAGAAGGGAGATGTACAGAGGCCTCCGGATGTCTGGGAGTCAGGGAGGGCTTCTTTGAGGAAGAGGCCTGGAGACCCACCTTAGCAATGTCTTTGCGCAAGGCTCCAGTGCCCCCTTCCCACCCGCTCCATCACTGGGTCAGTACCAGGGTGGCCTCAAAGGCCTGGGAAGAGGCTCCATAAGCAAGTTCTTCCATTATACTGTGAGCAACCCCAGAGAAGGAGTAGACTCTTGGTCATGTCTGTATCACTTGCCACAGTGCCTGGCACATGGGGGTTACTTAGGAAATGCCGATTGAATTGAACCAACTGTGGTTTGGGGGAGGGGGTCCTCCTGACCCAGGAGTCGGCAAGGACACTGCCAGAAATGTGTGGTTCCTTGGGCTGGCCTGCCTAAAGTCTCCCCTTCTTCAACTGGGCATCCATGCCCCCAGCCTGCTGTGACTCCACTTGAGAGGGAAGAGGAAGGGGAATTCTCCAGGCCTGATTCGAGGTCCTTTCTGTAGGACCATGCCCTAGCTCTCACACATCCTTCAGGTGTTTAAGCAGCTACCTTCTCGGCAGCCCCTCCCTGGACACCTTATCTAAAACTGCAACATTCCCCACAACAGACATCCAACTTCCCTTTCCTATGGATTTTTCCCCTTTACACTTATCACTTTTTAACTTACTGTATATTTTTCTTATTTTTATTGCTTATTGTCTCTTTCCCACCCCCCCACCCCACCCCCACTGGAAAATAAGCTCCACAAGGGCAGGGATTTTTGTCTGTTTTGTTCACTGCTGTTTCTCAGGTGCCTAGAACAGTGCTTGGCACAAAGTACAGTCATTTCTCCATATCCATGGGGGATTGGTTCCAGGATCCTCGCAGACACCGAAATTCTCGGATACTCAAGTCCCTTATATAAAGTGGCATATAACCTAGGCATATCCTCCTATATACTATAAATCAACTCTAGATTACTTATAATACCTAATATAATGTAAATGCTATGTAAATAGTTGTAAATACAATATAAATGCTACGTAAATCATTGCTGGAACAGGGCAAATTCAAATTTTGCTTTTTGGAATTTTCTGGCATTTTCTTTTTCGAATATTTTCAATCTGCAGTTGGTTGAATCCGAGGATGTGGAACCCATGGATATGGAGGATGGACTGTAGGTGCCCAATGAATGTTAAATGAATGATATCATTTATTCTCTGTAGGAACTCTGGGAGGGAACAGGTATAATCACCCTCCTCTTTACAGACAAGGAAACTCAAGGCCAAAAGGACTCAGAGATTCCTGCCTGGAAGGCTTGTCCCCCAGGTCTTCCCATGGCTGTCTTTTCATTCAGGTCTCAGCTCAGAAGTCACCTCCTAGTAGAGATGGTCCCTGACGACCAGAGCTAAAGCAAACCCATCCCTGTTATTCAATTTCACTTTCTTCAAGCACTTCTCAGTACTTAAAATGTTTGTGTTCACGTGGAGTGTCACCTCTCTCCCCACTACAACAAACCCCTAGAGAGCAGGGACCCTGTCCTGTCTTGCTCACTGCTTACCCACAGCATCTTAACCATGGGTAGATGCTCAGCTGTCTTGACCCAGGAGCTAACTGTGAGCCAGATTCTGACAAGAGAGAGACAGGAGAAGGTTCTGATGGTCAGTCGTCAGCACCACTCGTTAGGCCAAGCCCTGGAGGTCCAGGTGGGACAGCCATTAACCTTTCCCCGGTGAGGGCACAGCAGCCCTGTATGTGCCATGTGCCACGGGTGGTCTTTCATGGCACTAAGGGTGAGGAATTGGGAGATCTCCACGGTGGTCATGGAGTCCTTCACGTCCTGCTTATTGGCAAAGATCAGGACGGAAGCATCTCATAGAGCCTGTGGACAGAGGGACCCAGCCCCAGTCAGCCTGCCAGGATCCAGCCCCCCTTCCCATGGCCCCATGAGTCCTCCCTACCTCCCCTGCTTTCCCAGGTGGGGTGGGGATGGAGGTCCTGCCCAACACTAACAACCACATCCAGTGACACCGACAGCTCCTGGAATGCCTCTCAGCCAGCTCACAGTATCCTTACAATGATCTCGGGAGGTAGGAATCTGATGATCCTCTCCGTTTATACTTGGGGAAATTGAGGATTAGAGAGGTGAAGTAACTTGTCTGGGGTCCCACAATGCGTGAGAAGTGGGGTCAGAACCTGAACTTGCAGCTCTGGCTTCTGTGATCAGTTGTGCTGAGGGTGTTATTGCCCTTCATCTGGGATAATCTCGCCCCGCCCAAGCTGCTGGGATGGAGGTTCTCCGAGACTGGGGCATTAGGAATAACGCTCAGAGAGGCTAAGTGAGTAGAATGAGGTCACAGAGCTAGCACACCGGGTCCTCTCCCAACTGCAGGGGTCTTGCCTCATGGGCCAGCATCTTACACAGCTCCTACAGAGTGGTCAGCAGTCGATCCCGGGCCGTGCTGTCAATCACAAGGATGACGAACTGACCAGCAAAGGCGAGTTGTTAGTGATGGGCTTTCCCTTCAATGAACGTGTCTCCTTGCTCACTGCAGTCTGCCCTGATGTGAGTCCCACAGAAAACAAACTGTGCATCCTCAAGACCTCATTGAATTCCCTTTTCTATCCAGACCCAGGGTGGACTGAGCACAACTTCTGATTGTGTGCCAGAGGTTATGCCAAGCACTGGGCCTTCATGACTCCATTTAGGCCTCATCACAACCCCGTGGAACTGGAACTGTTACTATGCCCATTTATAAACTACAAGACTGAGGGTCAGGGAGGTGATGTATCTTGCCCGTGGCCACACAGCCTATGAGCAGCAGTACTGGAGCTTGAAATCAGCTCTCACTCCAGGAATGAAACCACTGGATTCTGCTGCTGCTGGAATGAGAAAGTAAGGCCCCCAGAGACAAAGGGCCCGCCCCATCCAAGGCAACAAACAGAAAGCTGCCAGCAGGCAGACAAAGCTGCCAGGAAGTATTCAAAAATTTTAACGGGCTTTGTGCTGCGTTAAGTATTTGACACATCTGAATTAGCTCTTGTTTTATTATTTAATTTTCACGACCCAGGGAGGTCATTATTATGGTCTCCATCTCACAATGGGGCAACCAAGGCTCAGAGAGGTTAAGTGACTGGCTAATATCACACAGCTCCTCCAAGCCCAGGCACCCTCCTCACCTCAGCATTGGAGTAGTATGTGTTCCAAGCGGAGCACAGAGCCTCCTCTCCTCGTATGTCCCACATGAAGAAGTGGGTCTTTTGCAAAACAATCTTCTCCACGTTGCTACGGATGGTGGGACATGTAGGGACCACCTCATTCTTCAGGCTGGGGAGGCTCTGTGCTCCGCTCAGTCCAGTGCTCAAGTGCTCAGCCCAGTCCTCTCCCAGCTCTGGCCCCCACCTGAAGTCAGGCTGAATCTAACTTAGAACAATTCAGCCCAGGTTGACGGAGCCTCTGCTGGGCATGAGGGAATGCAGACAGGAGTGAGACCAAGTCCTGCCTGGCTTGGACCCCAGAGAGGGGAGACTTATTAGAGCAGTCTCCCCAAACTTTAATATGCAGCTGAATCACCTGGGAGTCTTGCTAAAGTGCAGACTGTGATCCAGTGGGTCTGGGCTACGGCCCAGCATTTTGCATTTCTAACAAGCTTCCAGATGATGCCAGCACTGCCGGTCTGTGGACCACACTTTGAGCAGCAAGGGATCGGAAAAAGGAGACAGACATAAGTGAGGGCCATCAGAGAGGGGCTTTGTTTAAAGTGACTTAGAAAACACACACGTTTTTATACGTAGGGAATGCCTCTGGAAAATCTGGGAAGTGAAACTGGGAGTTAGGGATGAGAGGGAAACTTACTTTTCACTATATATGCTTGTTTTGTTTGAATTTCTCTTTTCTTCTAATTTATATATATATATATATATATATATATATATATTACTTTTTCAGGGGAAAATTTTCCTAAGTAAATAGGTTCCAAACAGGAGAGATGCCATCCAGAGTAAATATCGGGAAAAGCTCCGATGGATAATTACTCAGCACGTGTGCCAGACTCTGCTAGACCAGGAGCTACAGAGACCAGGCAGACCCAAAGCTGGCCCTACCTTCTGGGTTTGAAGAAGGGGGAGAAAATGAAGACACAAGACTGGGGTGCAGGAGTTAGAAGGAGAGACCTGACGCTAGGGGGAGCGAAGAGCACGGAGACCATCGGGCAGGTTCGGACAGCTTCAAGCCCGCAACCGGGTTTGGCAGGGGTAGGGGGTAGACGGAGGGGAGCAGTGGGGTTGCTCATACCGTGCAGGATTCAAAGGCCTGGCCGAGAAGTCATTGAACTGAGCGGCCACTTTACCAGGAAGGTCACACCAGGTTCCGCCAGTCAATCCTCCTGGCTACAGGGACGCAGGGAAGGGCTCCGGTGATTGGTCCAAATGCTTGTCAGTCTGGTGGGAAGGCCCAGCCCCGCCCCCCATCCGAGAGTCGCTTACAACGGGTAGGGAATGGAGGTCTTTCCTGCATTGTCCAGTCCTACGATGATAACCCTGTGTTCTGGACGCATCCGGGGGAAGGGCAGGGTCAGGGCCAAACCCGATGACCAAGGGACTGTGTGCTCCACCAGGCCTCCCAGGAAGGAGACAAGTGTTCCCAGCAGGCTGGGGGGCCTGTCCCCACCTTACTACTTCTGCTCCCCCGCCCCCTTCCCCCACAAAAAACAACAGGGCAGGTTTCTTTCCCACCGGGCCGAGACACCTGCGCCACTCCTGAACAGTGGAAATGGGAGCTGAGCCCCACATTCCCTGCTCCACATTTCCAGAAAAGCGATTGTGCCAAAGGTCGGGGGCGCTCAGGGCTTGCCAAGAGAAGGGGTCTGAGGAAAGAGCCGAGCGAGCGTGTAGTCATAATCGCAGGAAACCGGCGACAGCGTTGAGCCGGAGGAACGAGGCTCGCCCAACCCTGCGCCCCTGGGCGCACCGAAGCGCGCGACCGCCGAAGAGTGGGCGGGGAGGGGCAGGGGAGACTGCGGAGCAGGCGGGGAGGCCCCACTCAGGACCCTCCGAGCCCGAGGTCCCCCATCACATCCGCCCAGACGACCCCAGATCGGGGGGATGGGGGGACAGGTGGGAGCCGGATCAAAGCGGTCGCTCGGATGCCCTGCGCGCCCCTTACCCTGTTTCCCGAAGATGCTCATCAACTTGCCTATCAGTTGTCCCATGGCACGTCCCGGGTCAGACAGGGATAGGACTCGGGGGCCTTCGGGTGCCCGGGTCGAGTCCCGGCGCTTGGAGCCCCGCCCCCCCCCCACACCTCCGGAGGGCCGGGCAAGCTTTACCTACGGGGTTGCGGACGCCCCATGAGTCCGTCCCCTAAGGGGCTTGGGAACCACTTGGGACGCTGGCCCCTCGAGGGCGCTATGAGTCTCACAGTGACAATGAACTACGTGTCCAGAGCCCTGGAGGTGTAAGGAAAATGGCGTCCAGACTTCACATCCTCCCCCTCGCCCTGAGAAAAGCCCAGAGGTCTCTGGGTGGAGTACTCCCCACTGCAAATCAAAGAGACCTAGCACAGGGTCCCACATCGGATGCCAGCTCTCCCTTCTCCGAGTGCCATGTCTGAGGCACTAGACAAACAAAACCCTAGGCCAACCGCCTTCTGTACTTCTGTGTGAAGCAGACAGAGCCCACCCATCCTCTCTGAGCTGGGAGAACATTCCAACCTCTACAGGTCTCTAGTTGTTTCACCGGTGTGGGTCCCGTAGGCCTACTCAGAGTGAGTTCCCTTGGGAAAGGGCAAGGTGTCCCCTCCTTTTGCAGGCCCCTTGGTGATGAGCAACTTCTAGGAGTAGAGCCGTGCTGCTTCTATGGTTCACTGACAAAACTACTGCCCCAGCACAGCTTTCTGATTCCCAAGGGTGGGCATCTGAAGACAGTGACGGAGCAAAAAGAGAGATCTCTCAGCCGGAGACCCTGCCAAGGGTCCCAGGATACTAAGACCCAGCCAAGCAGAGCCTGGGCCAAGAGAGAGCCAGGCTGGAAGAGGGAGAGGAAGGGGGAGCTGCTTGTGGCTGTTTGTGAATTTCCTTCTTCGCTTAAACTGGGAAAAACCAGAAGACAAAAGGAGACATGGGGAAAAGACAAACCGCACTCAGGCTGAGGGGGTGGTTAAGAGAGACCAGTCACCACACAGGAGACTCGACTTCTAGCCCACTGCCACTGCCCTCTTACATCCCATGAGTGCGCCCCTTCCCCAAGGGAACAACACTTTAACTGGTCTCCCTGCCTCCCCTTTACTCAGAGCATCCTCTGCACATCCCTATTAACCTTCCTAAAGCACAGCTCAGAGTCTGCTACGCCACAGCTCATAAACCTTCAATGGCTCCCACTGGAGTCAGGTCAGTCTCCTCACCTGACATTGAAGAGCCACCATGAACAACCCCCACCTGCGTCTGCAGGTTATTTCCCCCCCCCTCCATGCTCTGCATCCATGGTCCTTGCCCACACAGGCCCAACTATGATTTTGCTTCTCTATTTCCTCCACCTGAATGTCCTTCACCACCTCAGAAAGGTGGGTTCCTCTGTCCCTTTAGGTGCCCGCCATAAAAGCCACCTACTTCCCAAGCCCTGGCCTGGTTCTCCAACTAAATGGGGCTTCTTTCTACCCTGAGATGATAACTGGCATGTCTGCTTTCTCCAGTCAACTGTGAGTCCTAGGGAATTCCCTGGCAGTCCGGCGGTTAGGGATCCGCACTCTCACTGCCAAGGGCCTGGGTTCGATCCCTGGTCGGGGAACTAAAATCCCATGAGGTGTGGCCAAAAAACCCCAAGAACTGTGAGTCTCAGAGGGTGGGGTCATGTCATGCTCATCTGTGTACCCCACCCCCGTTCCCTGCCTGAGCCAGCGCCTGGCACACAGTAAGGATGTGTTGTTATCGGACTGAAGGGCCGTAAGTTAAGTTACAGCCTGAGAAATGGTCTTTGAAGTGTTAAAGAAAAGGAGTATGAGCACAAGTCGAAGAGGATTGAGGAAGGCTGGGAAGTTTGTGGAGAGAAGAGGGAACAGCTCACTAAATACAGAAATTTCATCCCACCCATGGTGGTACCCAGAGTTAGAAGGAAGGAGAACTGACTACCAGAGCCCATCTGGGCTGATTCCGTTTCAGCCCTCGTTAAAAAGGAGCTGGGGCTGCATCTGGGTGGAGTAGGATAGGGGCGCAGAGGGTGCTAGGGGAAGCAGCAATGTTTAAAGCATTTTTACCATCTGTTTCCTGGAGGGGAGGCGGGAAGGAACCTCTTAATGCACCCTGACCCCACCATCAATAGCAGAATTGAAAGTGACGTTCTGCTTGCTGGAGCACATTCAGTAAACAGACAAGAGCTGCCTCTGCTGTGAGGCCCAGAGCCTGGATCCTCGGGGGTACTCATTCATTTATTCATTCATTTGACAAACGTGAGTCAGGAATTAGGAACATGCCAAGCAGACAAAACAGACCGTGTCCGGGTCTTATGGAGCTTGCCATCTAGTTCGGGAGACAAATACATGCACCAAAAAACAAAAAACAACCCTGAGAGACAGTAGGCTGGAAGGCCTGATTTAGAAGGGAGCTGAGGCACACGTCTCTGAGGATGTGATTACCGGGGCTAAGACAAGATTTTTGTCAAGGGTACTGGGCTGGAAACCACACTCCTTTCCACCCTGCTCCCAGGCCCTGGTGGCCTCACCTCAGCTCACTTTTACAATGGTGGAAACCTTCAGTCTCTCCGTCCTCAGCTCACTCTAGGGTAGAACCTACTCAAAAGACAGAAGCAGCTGATCAGGGAGAAAGATAGGAGGGGTCCCCAGCATCTCCGTTCCTGAGTCCCTGAGGTGGCTGCGGTCATAGCACCAGCCTCTCTGGGCCTAGTCCCAGCCGACTTCACGGTTGTGGAAATCCTCACGTGTTGACAACCACCGACGTGCTTATTGTGTGCTGGTTGAGGGCTTATGGTTACCAGGAGACAAGAGTCTCTCTCTTCAGGGACTTCCCTGGTGGTCCAGCGGCCAAGACTCTGTGCTCCCAATGCAGGGGGCCCGGGTTCGATCCCTGGTCAGGGAACTAGATCCCACATGCCACCACTGAAGATCCCACATGCCACAGCTAAGACCCAGTGCAGCCAAATAAATAAGTAAATAAATAAATATTAAAAAAAAAAGTCTCTCCTCATCTCTCAATATCTCTAAGCCACCTAGAAATGCCTCTGCTGGCAAGTTCTGGGCAAATGTAATTTCAGGCAGAAGGCACGTGGAGAGAAGACAGCAACATACTCAGACACATGCCTCCTCTTCCCCTGCACCCCTTCCCTTGCAGAAGCTAGGGCATCCTGGGTCAGGGGAATTAGCACGAGACTTGGGGGTCACGGACACCACAGAACTTGAAATCCGATCTCAGTTCCTGTCCTTGCTTGATGGCTGTGTTACTATGGACAGACTGCTTAACCTCGCTGAGCTTTATCTGTAAACTGAAGCTAATGAGCCCTGCCTTTGCTTTTAAAGTACCAGGGTCCACTGCAGATGGAGTTCCTCTGTGCAGCCCCAGACCAAGCCTGTTTTCTGCTCTCCTCCTCTTGGACGTTCTCCCACATGGCACCTTAAACCCACCTTGTCCAAAGCTAAGCATCATTTCTGCCTCTGACCTGTTTTTTCACCTGCTTCCTCTGTGTCTGGGAAGACCCTCACCCACAGTCACCCCAGATGCCTCCTTTTTTCTCACTAGCTGCCTCCAGTCGCTCCCCAAGAGCTCTCAGCCGTAACTGCTAGATGTCCCTCCTTCCCCATTCCACGGAAAACCCTCCTCGTTTTTCACCTGGAGCATTGCAGCTGTTTCCAAGCTAGGCCCCCCCCTCCGATCTATGCTCCAAACTGCAACCGAGACACTCTGACCATCACTGCTTACAGTCCTTCAGTTTCTGCACACCAGCTTGAGGACAAAGCCCAAACTCCCTCATGTGACTCAAGGCCCCTGTGACTTACTCCCGATGACCCCTCTCTTACCACCACCTCGAGAGCACACTTTGCTAGCAAAGTGCCAAGAACGTGTCATGCGTGTCACCTACTTCCTCTGCCTTGAACCCTTCCCCTCCTTCTCTGCCCAGGTTAATTCCTAACCAGCCTTCTAGACTCCACTCAAACCTCACCTCCTCCACGAAGCACCCCCTGATCTCCCCAGGTTAAGGCAGGGACCCCTTTTCCAGGTTCCCTCAGGACCCACTGCTTCCCACATCAGAGAGCTCGTTGTGCTGTCCTGAATTGTCTGTAGCTCCCACTTAGACTTGTGCCTGGTACATAGTAGCTGCTCAATAAATGTTTGCTCAATGAATAAACACAGGAAAGAAAGATCGATTCCATTGAAAGGCAGTGGGAGGAGCACTACGATGGCAGGCAGACTGGGCTCCAGTCCCAGCAGTGCTGGCTTTGCCGTCACCTCCCTGTTGACCATGGGCCAGTCACTCGACCTGTGGGCCTTCCCAGTTCCTCTTTCCTTGGGTTTGCTAACTCCTTATCTGGAGGGTCCTGACGTCTGTTGCCCTCTACACACACACTTTGCGCAGGAGCATTCAGGTCCACCACCCCAAAAACAAGAACCATGAGAGTGGAGAAATGGTTTGTGCGTGCTGGGTGAGGCAGGATACAGGCGACAGCAGGAAGGATCAACCATCACAAGTCCACATCCGGCCAGCTGATGGTGGCAGGAACGGGCACTGTCACGTGCTGACTTTCCTCCTGGCTTTTGATCTTTCTCTCAGTCTGGGACTGGGATGGGGGTTCCTGATTCTCTGCCCTTCCCCACAAACAGACCTCTTCCCCTCCCACCAGGTTGGTTAGCAGGGCCTGGGGTAGGTAGTTGTGGAGGCATCAGTGGAGGGAGCCGGAAGCTCAGCCCATCCCTCCCTGGGAAGCTGGGAAGCAGCTGAGGCCACAGGAGCAGAGAAGCAAGCACAGGCCTCTAAGACAGTGTGCCAGTGGCTCTGGATCTGACCCCCTGAACAAAACCCGGGGCACCCCACTTCCCGTCTCAGCTTCCAGTTTTCCCTGGCTCTACTTATGGGGAGACAGACCGGACAGGCATGGGGCTTGGGGCTGAGCAGAGCCAAGACTGGCCACGGCTTTATTCCTGCACCCACCCCTTCACTCTCCCTCCCTGCACATCGGCAGCTCCCACACACCTAGGCTGGCAACCAT